TATAGAAAATGTATCGATAGCTCGGATTACCGAGGCAAATATGTCAATAACAATGATGTTCTATAGAAAATATATCGGTAATCACTATAACAAAGATTTTCTATAAAAAAAAAATCTATCGATAACTAGGATTATTCAAATATTTTCTGTCGATTAAAATAATTTAATAACGAAAATTTATCGTTTGCAATGATTTTCTATCGAAAATATATTGGTAACAACATTTTCCGATAAAAACAATTTGCCATAAGGCAACTATCGATAATTACAATATTTTATAGAAAATCTACCGATATATTCTATGAATTGAGCTATTCACCTTTGTAAAGCTCCACGCCACACCTTCAAACCTCCATGAGTCTCTTCCCCCACTCCCAAAAATAGTTCTTTGCTATTCTTCCTCATCTAATTTGGCATTCCGCACCAAATGGTTCATAAACAAGCAATTTAAGATAGCCACTAAACGAATAATCGTTCGATAGTTAAATAAAAGACACCACCTCCAACTACTGGCAATTTGAATTTGAATTTTCTAATATCAAAGTCAATAAATATTGAAGCGACAAATGGAGCTCTGCGTATTGTCAAAACATTCTTGACAACAAGCCATGGCTAATCATCGATAACTCACACCTCGCAAAATATTAAATAAAACATTATAAATTACAACACTAATAAATTACAGCGATTACAACGACGATTGGCACTTGTTTTCCAAACATTATTTACCACGCACATACAAACACACTGACACATACACACACGCACACATGCATTCACATAGTATACCCCGACAATCGGCTAGAAGTCATTTCTTGTCCACTTACAAATAGACGCCCATCATTGCTATCGCACGCTCGCACCATTTACCACGGAATACCGTCACGCATGCGCAATAATTTGTCACACAGCGTCAAAGGCCCAGTAACTGGCCGTCCGTCTGTCCCGCTGTCCGCGTGCAAGTGAATAACTGAAATGACTGGCATTGCATGCAATTATGACATCTGTCATCTCTGGGTAGGCTGCGAAGAAGGTAACCAATAAATAAACAAAATGCTTTGGTGTTACGGTTTGTTGTTATTTCTGTTGATGGACAAGTTTTATAATCGCAATATTTATTTTTCTTTACCCAAGTGACAAGTGGAACAACTTTCACAAGGGGGGAAATTTATCGCTGTCTTCTTGGTTGTTGTTGTTGCTTTTAATGTGGCAGCATAATTAGTAGAACAAATGTAGCGATAGCATGGATATCAATGTAGATTATAATTATTACAATTTGATTAATTAGCAATATAAAATTGGTTATCGATAGAATTTCTTTGGAAAATATGAATTATCGATATATTTGTTATGGAAAATTGTTTGTATCGACAGATTTTCTATAGAAAATCATTGTTATCTATAGAAATTAATATATAACATTAGGGTATTTATAAAAAATAATTGTTATCGATAAATTGTCTGTAAAAAATCATTGTTATCGATAGGTTTTCGTTGTTATCCTTATATTTTCTATTGAAACAAGTTGCTATAAATAGATTTTCTACAGAATTTCACATTTATCGATAGTTTATTCTATTAAAAATAAATGTTATCGATTATTTTTTTGTAAAAAAAATCAATGTTATCGATACTTTTTCAACAAAAAAATATTGTTACCGATATATTTTCTATTAAAAATCATCGTTATCTGTAGATTTTCCACAATAAATCTTTGTGATCGATATATTTTCTGTAAAATAATCGATAGCTTTTCTACAAACAATCGTTATTATCGATAAATTTTATATAAGAAATCAATATTATCGGTAGCTTTTCCTTAAGAAACCATTATTATCGATATATATTCTGTACGAAATCATTGTTATCGATAATTTTTCTAGATATAATGGTTTTTATCGAAATTTTCTCTATATATAATCCTTGTTATCGATAGATCGTAGTTATCGATAGCATTTCTAGTTATCGATAACATTTCTACAAACAAATGTTGTTTTCGATATATTTTCATCATTATTATCGATAATGTGTCTAGGTATTCTAGTTGTTATAGAAATTTTATCTATAATCATTGTTATCGATAGATTATTATAGAAAATTGTAGATATCGATAGATTATCTATAGATAATCGTAGTTGTCGATAACTTTTCTATAAGATATAATTATAATAATAATTATCGGGAAAATTTCCACAGGTAATATAAAGATATTTCTGTAATAAATCGATATATATATATATATATATATATATATTGTGTATGAAATTATTATTATCGATAACTTTTCTAAATACATAGTCGTTGTCATCTCTACAGATAATCTATGCTATCGATAGATTTGCTGTAGAATATCGTAGTTATCGATACATTTCCTATAGAAAATCGTTGTTATCTATAACTTTTCTATAACAAATCGTTGTTATCGATATATTTTGTATAAGATATCATTATTATCGGAAAAATGTTCACAGTAAATCTTTATATTTCTGTAAGAAATCGATACATTTTCTGTAAAAAAATATTATCGATAACTTTTCTAAATAAAAACGTTGTCATCAACATATTCTCTACAGATGAGCTATGCTGTCGATAGATCTTAGTTATCGATAAATTTTCAATACAAAATGCTAACTATCGAAAATATGCTTATAAAAAATCTTAATTATCGATAGCGTTTCCATAGAAAACCATTGTTATCGGCAGGTATTTTAAATAAATGCATACTAATCGATATATTTTTTTTAACGGAATCATTGTTTTCGATACATTTTCTATATAATCTAATAGTTATCGATATATTTCGTATAGAGAATGGTTATTATCGATACATTTTCTATTGAATAAGATTTCTAGAAAAAAAGACATATTTATCGAGAGATTTTCTTTTCAAATCTCAGTTATCGATAGAATTTCTATAGGAAGTAATAGCTATCAATAAATTCTCTGTCGAATTTCATCCAGGTCAACGGAGTTCCCTCTTTGTTGTAGGTGCTCTATGATCTTGTTGTTGACCACATACAACACCTGCTTATAGGTCTCCTTATTCAGGTTATCGGACGTGATTTCTCCATCGATCAATGCATAGCAGCGCTCGTCTCGATAGCGTTTCCTGGCAACCTTCGCATAAGGCTCTTTACCATCTCTCGCTGTCATCTTCCTCTTTCGCAAATACCGGTTGGTCCTTTTGGGATTACTGGTCTTTGTGGAAGATTCCGACTCAGTACTCGTCTTCCTGATATCAGAGCCAGCATTGTCTACTTTTGTCAGTGGATTCTCGCGGCAGTCTCCTTTGACCTTGGCTTGACTCAGCTTTCTCTTACGATCGGCCGACGGGAAGCTCTTTTTCTTTTTGACGGATTTGACTGTCGCCTGCTCATCTGGAGACCTTATCCTCTTCGCCGCTTCCGCATAAGTTGGGGTAGGTCAGGCTTATCCTTTTGAGCCTATGTCTGCACCTTGCACTTTTTGATCATCCGGTTCATTCTGGCCCACATCCACCTTTGTGCCCCAGACAACTGCTTCTTCCTGGTTGTGAGTTTGGCGATATTCTTACTCACCTCCTCTATCATCTTGTCGGCCTCTTCTCTCTTCCGACTCTCCAAGACCGTTATATTTGTCTCAGACTCATAATTCGAAGTTGAGTCCCCTCCTGTCTCTGAAGGCTGGGTCAAGATTGCTCTTGAACTGTGGTGGCTCAATTCTTAATCGCTATTGCCCTGACTGAGACTTACATTACAATCGATAAAAAAACAATTGTAATGGAAACATTTTCACATAAAAAAATCGTTGTTATCGATAGTTTGTTCTAAGAAAACCTTTGTAATCGATAGCTTTTTTTATAGAAAAGCATTCTTATCGATAAATTTTCTATTGAACATCATTTTTATCGTAAAATTTTCTATTGAAAATAATTTTTATCGAAATAATTTCGATAAATAATCGTTGTTATTTACAAAATTTGCAATGGCAAATCATTGTTATCGATCGATTTTCTCTAGAGTATATTTGTTATCGATCTTTTCTAGAAATAATCGATGTTATCGACATATTATTCCATAAAAAACCATAGTTATCGATAGATTTGCGTATAGAAAATCAGTGTTATCGGTATAGTTACTTAAGAAATCTTTGTTATCGATGGTTGTTTTATAGAAAACTATTGTTATCGATAACTTTTCTATAGAAAATCAGTCATATCGATATGTTTTCTATAGTAACTACTTGTTATCGTTAGATTTTCTATAAATAAAGCTTTATTATAAATTCCTCAGCATATTTCAAACCCAATTATCTTCCTCAACACCCCATTACATTTTCGTTCGGCATTTCGGAATAAAAACCCCAATTTCTCATTACTTTGACATAAATAAACATTGGCTATTGTTTTCGGTTGCCCTTTCCCCCATTCCGCACCATCCACTTGATGTCGTTCCATTTTATTTTCTTTTAATTTCTTACTAGGTCTCTGTTTATTTTTCATTACTTGGCTACTGCGACTACTATTTGTACATGTGGGCCTCAGCGGAATCATTATGTTCCGCTTTTGTTATCATTGCCGGCATCCTTATGCCCCTCATTCTCCTTCTTCCTATTTCTGTGTTCTCCATCAATATTATGCTTTCATTTTCTTTGGTGTTGAAGGAAAAATAGAATTTTCCGCAATAACACCAGCCGAGGCGAGCCCATGCCAACCAACCGAGCCGAGTCGAACACAATTGCCCATAGCAAGGGTCAACGGTTTGTTTTTTTAGATTTCCTTTTCTTTTTTCGTTTCTCAAGAAGGGTCCTTTGATTTTTTTTCATCTTTCATTTCGTTTCTTCTTCCTCTTCTTGGCAACATTTAATGCTTGACGTTGTTTTTTTGTGTTATTCTATTCTGTGTTTACATTTCCGTTCCGTACATGAATATTTAGCTTTAAGCCTCTTTTCTGATTGCTGATGTTAATCATTCGGTTGGGCTATTCGCCTGGCCGACCCGTCGAACCGTCCGACCATTTCATTCATTCATTTGTTGCAATGCCCTTACGACTTGCGGAAACATCGGATGAGGCAAACACAACTTGCGAACCAGCCATGCAATGTGAACTTTTACCTTTAAATGCGGATTTTTCACTGAACATTCTTGTTGCTGACTCGGATTCGGATTCGTGTGTCTTTAAAATACAAAGACACGGTAACAAGTTGCCGGTCGGCTAGGCAATAAGTTTTGTGACTTTGGTTTTTGTTTCTTAGACAAAAAGAAACTTATGAGAGAGGCAATGTTAACCAATGGCACAGGGTGGGGCAAAAGAAAATGGAAATATATATGGGGGCTATATCGAAATCTGAACGGATTTTCAGGAAACTTAGCACACATCATTCTAGACTCAAATCAGTACGCTGTGCCAAATTTCGTGCAAATCGAAAGATATTTAGGGTCTTTGGTGCACCATTTATATAAAATCGGAAGAAAAATATATATGGGAGCTATATCTGAATCTGAACCGATTTTCACAAAACTTAGCATACATCATTCTAGGCTCAATTGAGTACGCTGTGCCAAATTTCGTGCAAATCGAAGGATATATAGGTTCTTGGGTGCACTATTTACCATAAATCGGACGAAAATATATATGCGAGCTATATCTAAATCTGAACCGATTTTCACGAAACTTAGCACACATCATTCTAGGCTCAATTCAGTACGCTGTGCCAAATTTCGTGCAAATCGAAAAATATTTAGGGACTTTGGTGCACCATTTACCTTAAATCGGACGAAAATATATATGGGAGTTATATCTATATCTGGACCTACTTTCACGAAACTTCGCACACATCATTCTAGACTCACTTCAGTACGCTATGCCAAATTTCGTACACATCGAAAGATATTAAGGGACTCTGGTGCACCATTTACCTTAAATCGGACGAAAAATATATATAGAATCTATATCTAAATCTGAACGGATCTTCACGAAACTTAGCACACATCATTCTAAGCTCAATTCAGTACGCTATGCCAAATTTCGTGCAAATCGAACGATATTTAGGGACTTTGGTGCACCATTTATCTTAAATCGGACAAAAAATTATATGCGAGCTATACCTAAATCTGAACCGATTTTCATGAAACTTAGCACACATTATTCTAAACTCAATTCAGTACGCTGTTCCAAATTTCGTGCAAATCGAGAGGCATATAGGGACGTTGGTGCACCATTTACCTTAAATCGGACGAAAATATATATGGGAGCTATATCTACATCTACATCTGAGCAAACATCATTCTAGGCTTAATTCAGTACGCTCCTCCCAAATATAAATTTGAAAATGATGATCACAATCATCATTATGTCATTATGTTAATTTAACGAACTTCCCGATTTTGGCAATTCACTTCGTTTTGAAGTTTCTTTTTTGTGCGAAGCCATTTCTGGCTATTTTCCAACTAATGGTCAATGCAATTTGACTTCCAAATAAATGCTGGGCAATGCAATGCGTAACTAACAGGCACTATCAAATCTCTGACACGACTACTTGGCCAGGGACAAAATGAATTCTGCAAATTTGAGTGACTGCTAGTCGGTTAGATGAGGAGGGTGAGGATGAGAGGACATAACCCAACATCAATGCTACAACAAGCATTAAGCATCATGTTCATGCCACAGACCAATGCAACACATTGCCTGGCCTGCCACAAACCGTAAACAATACCCGCACACTTAGGAAGTCGAAGTTTGTTGATCGCTGAAGTCATGCCTGAAATTGATACTCTGTTTGGTTTGCTAGGTAGCTGAGTTCAGTTTAGATCTTTGGGTTTGTTGTTGTTGTTGTTTTCGGTGTTCGCCTGCCTTTGGGGTCTAATTTCATTTATTACCATAAACGGTGGCAGCGGCAATGCCGGCCATTTTCGGCTTGTCATGGCTTATTTAGGGAAAACATTTTTGCCCCGCAACAAGATGAACCTGCTGCTATGATGGGTGCTTTTTGATGGTTGTTCTGTTGATGTTCAATCACGGCATCAATCCGCATCAGCATGGGAGTAGTCATCATTATCAATGTCCAAAAAAACATTGCCACATCTATCGCGGATCATGCCTCTAAATATGGTCATTATCGAATTGAAGAACATTGTTATCGCTGTGTGCGGATTCATTAATCTAACAATTGCGATAACGAAGGAGAAAAATAAAAAAACTTACGAAAAATATTTTTCATCGTTTATCAACTGCAATAGGCTTGGATTTTTTAAAAATTATTTTTGAGATCCTAAAATAGGCTTGGATTTTTTAAAAATTATTTTTGAGGTCCTACAATAGGCGTGGATTTTTTTTAAATTATTTTTGAGGTCCTATAATAGGCGTGGATTTTTATAAAATTATTTTTGAGGTCCTACAATAGGCGTGGATTTTTATAAAATTATTTTTGAGGTCCTACAATAGGCGTGGATTTTTATAAAATTATTTTTGAGGTCCTAAATAGGCGTGGATTTTTTTTAAATTATTTTGAGGTCCTAAAATAGGCGTGGATTTTTTTTAAATTATTTTTGAGGTCCTAAAATAGGCGTGGATTTTTTTTTTTAATTATTTTTGAGGTCCTAAAATAGGCGTGGATTTTTTAAAATTATTTTTGAGGTTCTGCTCAGTTTCTCAAAACCGCATCCACCACATGTCAACATCGGTGAGATGCAATGGATGCGGAGAATGGGTACACTTTCGGAATTGTTCCAGTTTAAACCGGGTACAGGAGTACAGCGGTAGGGACTACATTGCACCAATCAGCTACTAACACCTCCCATTGCTGTCACAACTCCGGATAATGTATCGTTTCTCCAATTCAATGCAATGGACTTCGAGGAAAGATCAGCGAAATAGTGGAATTTATGAGTCGCAGAAATATCATGGTCGCGGCGATCCAGGAAACGAAGCTGAGTAATACCCGTAGGCTTCAAATTTGTGACGGTGAATTAGGACGTACCCACCATGATAAGCGGAGATTGCCAGAGCTTACCGGACATATCCATTGTGTCCCCGGGTCTGACGAATGACGTGACTTGGCAACCCGTCATTTCACTTGGGTCAGACCACCTCCCCATTATCTAATTTATCAACAGGCCACCCGACTTCATAAGAGATTTCATTAAGAGATTTCACCAATCGTCGCTTTAGAGAACTGCCCAATCCTTCAAATGCTCGGGTAGCAGAAAGGAATTTCCGGGATCATCACCGCAGCAGCCGCTCGCTATATACCTGCTGGTCGAATACCAAAATTAAGACCTAATTTCCCAGCAGAGGCAGAGGGATTAGGGAATGAGAGTGATGAGCGTGATGAGATTCGTCGTTCGAACCCTACTGACCCCAGAATCAGAGATCTGGCACTGGAAGTCAATAGATTAGTCGGCGAACATAAGCGGAAAAGTACATTAGGGCAACGGTGAAGTCGCTCTCCAACCCAGGAAGGACGATCGGACTTCTGTCTCATTTAACGGCGCTGAGGGACAATATCCGAAGAGGTGGGCGAGTTATTTTAACCGGCTATTTATTGAGCACCCCGAGAGCGATTGGGCGAAAAGAAGAGCGTTGCGCCGCATTCTATGTCTCAAGGCCGAGGAGGAACCACCACAATTTACGTTGGATGATGTTGCAAATGTCATCAGAAGCGCAAAGCCATCCAAGGCGCTTGGTCCAGATGGAACCTTTATGATGATGTTGAAGCAACTGGACGTTAGCCACCCTAATAGTTCCCGATGTCTGGAAAATGGGAAGCCAGGCAAGGATGCCAGCAAAGGTGAATCGTACAGGCCGATTTCACTTTTGTCGCCAGTAGCCAAGACTCTCGAGGCCCTTCTACTCCCAAGCATCAGGGAATGCTACGCAGTTGCTGATCATCAACACGGATTCCGGAAGAACCACAGTACGACAACAGATTTACACGCCATTTCCGCACGTATCGCGAATGGCGCTTGACTTATGAAAAGCATTTGATTCAGTCAATCATGCCATGCTGTTCGAGGACGTCGAAGGAACGACCCTTCAGCCAAGTTTGAAACGTTGGGTCATTAATTATATGTGCGAGCGCCAGTCGTACGTGGAATTCAGAAACAAGAAGTCTAAGACCCGTAGAGTGAGCAGGGAGTTCCCCAAGGTGGGGTGATATCTCCGGAACTGTTCAACCTCTACCTTTCTGGTATTCCACGCCCACGTGACGGCGTTGAGATCATAAAGTACGCGGATAGGGCCCGAAATTGATGACATATGCGATCGGTTGAATGCCTATCTCGCTGATTTAGCAGAGTTTTTCCACGCGAGGAATATGAAAATATCCACCATAAAGTCAACGGCCACACTGTTTAATACATTGACCGCGGAGATGAGGCTACCCTTGAATGTGCAGGTCGATGGGTCCATGATTCCGACCACAAATTACCCCAAGTTCTAGGGGTCACATTCAGTCGTCTTTACAAGTCGTCCAGGGTTCACAGCTATTTGCGATAAGGTCAGGAGTAGGAACAAGGTTCTCAAGTCACTAACCGGTAGTACTTGGGGAGCTGATAAAGAAACCTTGTTGACAACCTAGAAAGCAATAGGCCGGTCTGTTGTAAACTAAGCGACTCCGGTGTGGTCCGCCAACGTAAGTGCTACGCAATGGAAAAATATTCAATCCTGCCAAAATTCCGCCCTGATCGCTGCAACAGGGTGTCTCTTCATGACTCCGATAGATCACTTAAATGAGGAGACGAATATCCTTCCTGTGCGTCAACACAACAGGATGTAGTCGTTGCAATACCTGCTTGGGTGCTGCAGAAGCAGCCATCCTAACCGCCAACTAATGGATAGACACCAACCGCCCAGGCACGTTAGGAAGGATCTTCATGATCTAGAGAGAGAGGTCCAGAAGTATAAAAGAGATCCTCTAGATAAGCAGGCCTATCAAACAGGGTTGAATCGTATTCACTCGGATGAAGTTGAGGAAGCAATTCAAGAAGCAACAGAGCGAATACAACCCTCGGGGTTCACCCGTCATTGATAGCGGCAGAAGAGCAGCAGTTACCGCGACAAACGAGAGTAGTGCTGGCACAACTGAGATCAGGATGGTGAGATCAGGTAGACTCAATCTGTATTGAGCGCGAATTGATGACACAGTGCAGAATATCTGTCCGGCTTGTGGTAATGGTCCACATGATACGCTACACCTATTCAACTGTCCAGCTAAGGCCACTCACCTAACCCTATCTTATCTATGGACCGTATCCATATAGGTTGCCGACCATTTGAACATAGAGTTAGAAGCTGAACCATACTAACAGAAAAAAAAAAAAGAAAATACATAATAATTGCTACAACAACAACAACTGTGAGTAATTGACGGAATGTGTAAAAACTAGAAGTCCATATAATCATCTTCTAATAATCATAAGTTAGTAAGTGACTCCCCTCAATATCAACATTTTTTTTATTGCCTATAAAACTTGAAATGCATTCGAACACCACCACCATTAAAAATCAAAGAAGAAAGGGAGTGATGGAAGCAGATTTTTTTACAATCACTACCGCACCATGACAATAAATTGCTGTGATTAATAAAATTTGTTTATCATATGCTGCTGCAGATTCAATACACCACCAATCGAAGTTGTTTTGCAGAGGTATGGAGGATGTGCTGGATGATCGAAAACCATAAAAATTATGTTCTAAATGATTTGATCATTGGCTACTGTATTGCTAGAGAAGTCATTTTTTAATGGGAGTCGTAATTTTTGATGATCTGAAGTTGAGGTAATTAGATTGTCGCAAGGAGTTATGTGTTTTTTTGTTTTTCAAAGGTAATTGAAATCGGGAGGGTTTTTATTGGATACAATCATAATCAAGTGATTGGCGAAAATATACAAAGTATTTTATAATGGGAAGGTGTAATGAGAATAGTGCCATAATTAAGAGCCGAAATATCGTTGGTATTTTTTTTTCTTTTTATTTCATTTTACCGGCCAAGATCGTTGTGTTTCTTTAAAAGACTCACCATTTCATCCAATTAGATTTGTGATTCTTTCTTCTTCTTGTTTTCGGCAATATCGTATTATATTTTGACTATTTTTTCTCCCCATCCAATCACAATTTTCCAATCAATCACGAGGTATTTCTTTGCAGCATCCATTCCAAACTATCATGAGGTATTTACATTCATACTTCCGTGTAGCCTTCGTTCCTTGTCCTTATCACCCATCCAGGTTATAGTTTGATATATTATTTTACGTTGTCCTGCTACTCTCTCACTACCCTCCTCATCATCATCATTGCCATCTTCATCAAAATATGCCACCATACACAATTTATTAACCATCACAGATAGTCGGACATTTGCTACCAATTCCAAGGCCTTCATAGTACCATTTTCTAGCAGGATTACAACATGGGAAGCATGATATTGCAGGGGATCCCCAGGATAGATAAGGAAATCAGCACCAAAAGCATCACCACAAGTGACAAATTTCCCTCGTGACCATAAATCACGAAATACTTGGTATTTTAATGAGGTATCGGAGTCGCAGAATGTTGCAATGTTGGCATCTGAATTGGAAAAAATTGGTAGTTGGGAAATCATAACAAGGGAATTTATTTGTATTACCATGTGTTTCCGGGTGGGCGCAGGGTATATCCAGTAATGCATTTTTCCTTTCAAATTTAAGACCCTGGCGGATTTCTTTGAGTATTTCCTGGGGATCCAAATTGATATCTGTAAAGGAAGATAATATATGAGTGCAAAACATAAAAAGGAAATTGAAAGGAATTAAAGAGGGGGTGAAATAGAAGAGCTGATGGTCTTCTTTATAGACAAGCAAGATGTCGTTTTTATAGACGAGTTGGAGGTCGCCTTCATAGATGAGCTGAAGGTCGACTTTATAGAGGAGCTGAATGTCGTCTTTATAGACGAGCTGGAGGTCGTCTTTATAGACGAGTTGGAGGTCGTCTTTATAGACGTGCTGAAGGTCGTCTTTATAGATGAGATAGAAGTCGTTTGTATAGACCAGGAGCTGATGGTCGTTAATATAGGACTGGAGATAGCTGATTTTGTCTCTATAAACCAGGAGCAGATAGTCGTTTTTATAGACCAGAAGCTGATGGTCATATTTATGGAATAGGGGCTGATGGTCGACTTTATAGACCAGAAACTGATGGACGTCTTTATAGACCAGAAGCTGATGGTCGTCTTTATAGACCAGAAACTGACGGTCGTCTTTATAGACCAGAAGCTGATGGTCGTCTTTATAGACCAGAAGCTGATGGTCGTCTTTATGAACCTGCAGCTGATGGTCGTCTTTAAAGACCAGAAGCTGATGGTCTTCTTTATATACCAGAAGCTGTTGGTCTTGTCGTCTTTATAAAGGCTGATGTTCGTGTTTATAGACCTGGAGCTGATGGTTTCCTTTGTAGAACTGCAGCTGATGGTCGTCCTTATAGACCTGGAGCTGGCCATCTTTATGAAGGTTTAATAGGCTCCAGCTTCTCAATAAAGACGGACTGAGCTTCAGCTCTTCTATAAAAGCTCCCTGACCTTCAGACCCTTTATAATGAATCCCTGGCCTCAGCTGGTCTATAAGAATACGTCGACCTTTAATCTGTCGACAAAAACTCCATGGCTTTCAGCCGGTCTGTGAAAACACCGTGACCATCAGCTCGCCTATAAAGACTTATTGCTTACAGCTCGTCTATGAAGACTCCCTGACCTTCCCCTCGCCTTCAGTTCCTCTGTTATGGCTCACTGGCCTTCAGCTCTTCTCTGAGGTCTCCCCGGCCTACAGCTAGTCTATTGAAACTCCCTGTCTTTTAGCTCGTCCGTTACGACTCCGTGGCCTTTTACTTGTCACTTGTGATTCCCAGGCCTTCAGGTCGCGTAATAAGACACCATGGCCTTCAGTTCTTCTGTAAGGACGCCACGGCCACTAACTTGTATGTAAAGACACCCAGATCTTCGGTTCGTCTATAGAGACTTCAGCACGTTTATAATGAATCCTTGGTCTTCAACTCCTCTTTATGGGCTCCCTGTCCTTAAGCTCGCCTATGAAGACTTCCTGACCTCCAGTTCGTCTGTTACGAATCACTGGTCTTCAGCTCGTTTACGAAAATTCGTTGGCCTTCAACTCGTAAATAATTACTCCCTGGCCTTCAACTCGTCATAAAACCCTTGCCTTCAGCACGTCTGTAAGGACTCTTCGGCCTCCAACTCATCCATAAAGTCTCCCTGGCCTTCAGCTCGTCTTTGAAGTCCCCCTGGCTTTCGACTCTATGAAGTCTACCAGGCCTTCAGCTCGTCGACAACGAATGCCAGGCTTTGAGCTCGTCTTTTAATACTACATAAAGACTCCCTGACCGTCAGCTCATGTATGAAGATTCCGTGACTTTCAGCTTGCCTTCGTTTTTTTTTTTAATACGTAAATCCGTTTGCTTCTCACCTTTTTCTGGCACACCCTGCTTCAACAGTTTCTTCCTCTTTCCTGCCATTATTTTATCAATATTTCCCTGCGATTGTTTCAGCTTTTCATCTTTCAAAGCTTCCTCTTGTTGTGACAGACGTTGTTCCAACTCCTCTTGATATTGTTTACGTTCTTCCTCAGTTTCTTCTTTCAACAGGGAAGCCTTTTTGGAAACCAATATTGCCAAATTCTCCTCCACTAATAAACGTGTCTCCCATGGGGTTAATTCCACGGGCATTGCTGAAATACAAATGGGAACATTAAATAAAAAAATTGGATTTGGAAATAATAAAGTTGAAATCTTATGGGATACATACCACAATCATTGGCTGACCATCCTCGTGTTGTACATGTCCCCACCAGCGAGCCCACAATGTGGTGATCTCTGCGCAATTTCATGTAATCTGTGGAGGAAATTTCTTTAGAATAATATATATATATATATATATATATAATATATTATGGTAAACTTACCCTCCACTTCGAAAACATAACCAGTTCCATTCAGTAATGTTAGAATTATTTTATTTTCAGGTTCCATTTTTTTCAACCAGGAAATTATATTTCGGCGGGAGATATAGAACTAAATGCAAACTCTAACACGAATCCAGATCCAAGATTCACGATCTTTTCTTAATAATTCTTTGGCGACCTCTGAAAAACCATTCCCATTTGCGATAAATTACAAACGAACTACTTTCTGGACCGGCTCAGTGAACTGTTGATCCTCCAGAATTGAGAAATTCAATGGTTTATGTTTACGAATTGGAAGTAAAAACGAATAAAACAGATATCTGCCGGCGGAATGCCAATGAAACTATGAAAACAATGAAATGCTTCTTCTTCTCTTGGGGTTTTTAATGAAAACAATGGCACTCACAGTAGAGTGATAACACAACCATCAAATGTTAGACGACAGCTGTTGATGGAGGTAGCAGTGACTCTCAAACTAACAACTAAGCAATCAAACAAGGCGAGGAATGTTTTAAAAGGGGAATAGATTTAACAAAAATTTAAGGCCTTAAAATAGGCGTGGATTTTTTAAAAATTAATTTTAATGTTCTACAATAGGCGTGGATTAAAAAAAATTCAAATATTCATGATATTATTTTCTCTAAAATTTTAAAATGTTGTCAATAGTCGTGACATCTATATGTCAGACAACGGGTGGTAATCTCCACTAAGCTTCATTGTCGCCATGGCTACGAATTGTAAGTAGAAGAAGTATAGATGTCACTACCAATCCAAAGCTTTTAAAACTAAAAAACTCGTAGTGTTTGAAAAAATATTTTTAAACCAGTGAGCGGAGCAATATAGTCGAACGGGGCCGACCATACGACACCCTACACAACTACCACGAACTCTATCTTTCTGCGGATTTTTATTCTGAGACTGGGCAATATTTCGTGATATTTGCACCCTCTTGCCCGATTAGAGGTCAACAGCACCTCTTCCTTACACTGACTTATTTTCCGAATATTAATAATATTCAGTACAGCCGCCCCCTAATTACTTGTCCAGATTCTCATCACCGTGGGTTGTGATGTTCGGCTTTTAATTATGGTCTATGGACGGACTCGAGAAAACACCAAAAAATAAGTTTTCGGTCCACTTCTTCCGAAAAATCTGATCTCATCATTACCGAAAATTATAGGGGTTGTCGGTGATCATAACTTGAATCTCATGGAAAGGGATCAGCGCTATATTTCCGCCCTCTAGTGTATTAATGACTTACTAAATAATATCTGAATACGTAAGCACCTGTAAATATTTAAGTGTAACTCCCACATCCGAGTGCATACGACACTATAATTGGTATCAATTTAAAGGTCAACCACTCCTCTTGGATACACTATGAACTTCTTCGGTCTATATTCTTCAGGGGTAAATATATATGGCATAGAATACAAATTTTGTCATTTTTCACACAAACGACAGGGTCAATTTGACCCGCTAAATATTGACTGATCTTTATCAAAACAGGCATGCCTATTCTTTGGTCCGTTCCCCTTCTGATTGTAAAAGTTCGTGATGTTTTGGCCATAATTGCGGCCTCTGGAGCGACCAGAAAATCAGAGAAAAAAGAAAGTATTTGGTCCATTTCATCCCCTAAATGTTAATCGATCTTTACAAAAAACAATAGGGGTCTGCATTGGCCGGAACCCATCCTACATGCAAAATTTCGTGAAGATTGGTCCATAACTGTGGCCTGTATCGTGTTTACAAATTATAATGGACGGACGGATGGACACACATGTCTAGATCGACTTAGCTAGACGAGATTTGACGATCGGCATACTTAAAGGTGGGTCTAGGACCAATATTTTGCGGCGTTAAAAACTCCTGGGGCTGACAACACAGTTGTGTAGGGTATAAAAATCCACGCCTATGGTAGCTACTTGAAAAAAATATTTTTAAAAAATTCATGCCTATGCTACTTGAAAAAAAATTTCCTTTTATTGTAGGTACCTGACCTGATTTTTTATAAATCGCCACCTTTTTGTAGCGTCCTTTGATGGTCACATTACACCCATTACCGCCTAGCAATTCATTGATTAGTTTGTGGGGATTTTTGTTTTCCTTTATTTAGCTGTGACGTTGGGTACTCATTACTCAGCCTCACTCTCTCAGTCATTTTTATTTTTCTCCCTCTCTCTCCAACACTCTCTCTAATCAACAAACAACAGCATGCGCCCATGATTTTTGTTTGCTGCAAACTTTGCCCCATACAAGCAATCACACACACACACACACACATAGCAATGGATGATCTTCAAGATGAGCGAATGGAGCATAACAGCAGCATCAACAACAACAACAATACATATATAATTTTTTTGTGGTTTTTCGTTGAACACAACTGTTGTTGTTGTTGTTGTTGTTGTTGCCATTCTAATTGTTTTGTGTGTTGTGTTTTTTGGCCAGCCAGCCTATCTCCCTACATTAGGAGGGGAGATAGTTTGAAAGGTAAATGGGAAATAAATAATATGGCATGCAATATTAATTATTATTTACTTAAAAAATAAAATAATGTGTAATAAAATAAATATAGGCTTGGAATCTTTAAAAATATTTTTACAAAGGCCTGCATTAGGTGGGGATTTTTTAAGAATATTTTTTCATTATTTGGGATTTTTTTTTCAATATTCTTTCAGGGGTCTACATTAGCTAGGGTTTTTTTAAAAATATTTTTTTGAAATGAAATAAAACGCCGAACCCAAATAGTGTAGCGCCCCCCACAGCCTACAAGAAAACCCCACACACACACTCACTCACACCAAACGCTCTTCCATGACTCTCCATCCAAAATGAAAGATCAGCCAGCCACCCAGCCGGTAGGTCGCGGCAATTCGTATGTCTAACCAGCTGAGTAGAAAAAACAACAACAACGGAAAAAATCTCACACAACACAATCAATACCACGAACAGCATGAGATGATCGTTGTATTTGCCGCTTGGCGATTTCAGTGAGAATTCAAACGTGTTCCATACGACAACAGGGGAATAACAAAAAAATAATAAAAAAAAATATTAAAAATTATAGAAATTTTTAAATAAAAATTAAAAAAAAAACATGTGTAGATATATTTCGTAAATTTGCCGCACCGTAATTTTTACAAACAAACAAAATCTCAGAGAATCTCGTGGATTCCCCGTTTCATCGTCGCGCTAATTAACAACCGGGTGTTGAAAAATCACACGAACAGATGGAATGAAAAAATAGCCAAAATACAAATTAAAAAAAAAAAAAAATACAAACAAATTTCACTTTCAGGTGTTTGGGAGATGAAGATGATAAATGGTCAATAAAAAAAATATTGAAAAAAATAAAATAAGAAAAAAATAATAAAACATTAAAAAAAAATTAAAAAATATATGGTAAAATGTAGAAGTGTTATATAATAAATAATAGAAAATAAATAAAAAATATATTGAAAATTTGTTTGAAAAAAAAAAATAAATAAAAAAATAGAAAAAAAAAATTAAAAAAATTTTGAGATAAATTAAAAAAAATGGAAAAAAATTAAATTAAAAATTGAAAAACTTTTAAAAAAATTTGAAAAAAAAATTGAAATAAATTAAAAAAAATGAAAAAAATTTAAAATAAAATTTGCAATAAATTTAAAAATTATATAATAAATAATAGAAAATATTGAAAAATATATTGAAAAATTTTTTGAAAAAAAATTGAAAAAATAGTTAAAAAAAAATTGAAATAAATTTAAAAAATTGAACAAATTAAAAAAATTTGAAAAAAATGATTGAAATAAATTAAAAAAAAATTGAAAAAAAAATTTAAAAAATATTAATATACATAAAAAGAAATATTTTTTCGTGCAATAGAAAAATTAAAAAAAAATAAATAAAAAAGTATCATCAAAAGAAAATTAATTAGTGAAAATAAATCCTACCCCGCCGACTTATATAAGTAAATAAATTGTTATAGATAAGCAGTGAGTTTCTTGTGATTTCTTGTTGTTGTTACTATTGTGCATTAAAGTCAATACTAAATAAAAATAAATAAATGCAATTATCTCCAAGTTTTTTTTTTTTAATTCTTAAAAAAAGTAGTTATCGTCGTTGCAAAAAGTGTTACGGTTTTAATGACTACCCATATCTGATAAAAAAAATTAACAACAACAACAAAAAATAAATAAATTGTTTAAATTCTATTATCGGAGTGCGTTGTTAAATTTGTTTGTTTTGATTTTTTGCTGTGGCTGCTGGTTTCGAAAGAAAAAAAAAATACACCCGAAGAAAAAAATGTGTAAAAAAATATTTCAAAATTAACGAATAATAAAAAATGGAATAAAAATATTTTAAATAGGTAAGGAATTATTGCAAGAATAAATAAGGAAAAAAAATTACAAAAAAAAAATAATAATAATAATTTTCAGAAAATCTAAATTTCCAAAACTTTCTACATTTCCCAATCCTATACGAATTTCCAAAAGCCAAACCCTACACCTCAACAGTGATTCTAACATCAAATTTAAAGACTTCAGCTCTATCGGTTCACCCAGATACATATTTGGTACCTTTAGTACGAATTTCCAAAACTTTCTACATAGCTCAATACTACATACCAACAAATATCGTAACTCCAAATTGCAGGATTCCAGTTTTATCAGTTCACATAAAATTCAAATTTTACCAAATTTAGTATGATTTTTCAAAACTACATTCATACCCCAATCCTACACTCTAAAAGTAAACTTATTTCCAAATTTCAAGGTTTTCATTGTACCAAATTTAGTACAAATTAATACGAATTTCCAAAACTTTCCACAAAGCCCAATCCCTCACCCCAAATGTGATCCGAACGTCAAATTTCAAAATTCCTGCTCAATCGGTTCACTCTAACCCGTATTTGGTACCATTTTGTACAAATTTCCAAAACTTCATCGCATGGGTTCACCCAAAATTTAGTTCACATTAGTAGGAATTTCCAAAATTTCCTAAAAAGCTCAATTCTACCCCAACAATGATCCTAACTCCAAATGTAAAGCTTCCAGCTCTATCGGTTCACCCAAATCCAAA